GGAGGGGGTGAAGGGAGGGCTAGGAATGGGGAAAAAATAAGAACCAAGATGCATCATGTAAAGGTACAATTCCCAATGAGAAATGTAAATGTGTTGTATACCTAAAATGTAGCAATAAAAGAATTTAAGAAAAAACAAAACAAACCAAAAACCTCTATCATTCCTCATAGCAGTAGATCCTGTACAGTACCATGCCTAATCTGTTGTTAATGTCATTATGTTATATTTTTCATATCAGATGTTATTTTTTAAAAATCACATTTCTTTTTATTATTATTGCAAGCTATATATATCATATATATATGATATATATGATTTTCAAATCTTTATGTTTGTGACCTAAATTTTTAAGTTCATTGTTTGCCAACTTCATTAGCTCTACTATTTATGGGTCTGTTCCTATTGATTGTATTTTCTCTTGGTTTTATTCCTGTTTCTGCACATACTTCGTGAATTTGATTGGGTATTTTGGCATTGTGAATTTTAGTTGTTTGGTGCTCATTTTACTACATTTTGTTTACAGTTATTTTTCTAAGCATTTAGGTTGCTTGGATCAGTTTTATCTTTCCAAGATTTTTCTTTCAAGCTTGTTATGATAGTTCATGGGGACCTTTACTTAGTGATACTTTAGCTCTAGTATTCTGACATCATGATTCTTGACAATCACTGTTATTTTTGCTTTAAGTTTTTTTGTCTTATTTTTTAAAAGTCAAAAATGAGGAAAATTATCTTATTTTTTAATAACATTAACTATTTTTGGTATCGATGCAAATTTCCTTTTGTAATAATTTTTTTCCTCTGCTTGAAGAAATTTCTTTATCATTTCATATTAAATACTAATGATCACTCAGGGTTTTTTCTCCTCCATTTTGAAAGATATCTTCTCTGTATATAGAAATCTAGAGGGATAGTTTTTTTTTGCAGTACTTTAAAGTTGTGGTTCTATTCTCTTGTGATTTGTTTTGTTTCCAGCAAGAAGTGTGTCATTTAAATCCTCATTCCTCTAGTCAATTTGTATTTTTCCATACTTTTAAGATACTCTCTTTGCTGGTAATTTGGAGCAATTTAATTATTATGGTGTTGATGTAGTTTTCTTTATGCTTCTTTCATTATATCATGACCTTAATTAAAGTGTTTTTATTGGTAGTTTTGCAGTCTTTGACTGCTAATTCCATTTCTGTTATTTTTGGTGTTCTATAGACTATTTTTCCTGGTTACAGATTATATGTTCCTTTTTCTTTGCATGCCTAGTATTGTTGACGAAATAAGACATTAAAGTTACATTGTTAAATTAAAAAGAAAACTATCAAAAAAAGGATATCAAGAAAATGATCTAATTTATATTGACTAAATAAAATAAAATAATTAGTAGAAAATTATCCAAAGAAGTGAAAGATCTATAATTGAAAACTATCAAGAACATGTAATGGAGAAGGGACAATCTTTCCAATAAATGATATTGGAAGAACTATATATATGCATTCAGAAGAATGCAATTAGACCCTTATCTCACACCATGTACAAAAATCGACTCAAATTGAATTAAAGACTTAAGTGCAACACCTGACATTAAAACTAGAAGAAAATATAAAGGAAAATGTCCATGAAATTAGTCTGGAAAATGAGTTTTTGGCTATGATTCAAAAAGCACAGGCAATAAAATCGAAATAAACCAAAGAGATTACACAAAGATAAAACCATGGAAAGAATTCACAGAGCAGAGAGACACTCTAAGGAATGAGACAAGGAGCTTGCAATCCATACAGTTGATAAGCTGTTAATATCTAAAAGATGTACAGAATGCATCTTCTATAGTGAGAAAAATCAGCTCACGGTGAGAAAAAATAGCTCACTTATAGAATAGAAAAGGGTGTAAGTAGACATTTCTCAAAAGACAACATACAAATGGCCAAATATAAGCAAAATGCTTAATATCACTAATAAGCAGAAAAATGTAAATTAAAATTACAATGACATTATCTTATGCCTATTAAAATGCTGTTATCAAAAAAGACAAAAGATAAGAGCTTGAAAGGATAATGATAAAAAGGAACCCTCATAAAATATTGGGTGGGAATGTACACTGGTACAGCCATTATGGAAATCAGTATGGAGATTTCACTAAAAAAGTAAAAATTGAACTTCCATATTATCTAGCAACCCCACTGCTGAGTGCTTACCCAAAGGAACATCAGTTTGTTGAAGAGACAGCTGACTGCACTCCTGTGTTCATTGTGGAGATACAGAAACAACCTAAGTGTTACCAGGAAACAAAAGTTGCCAGAGCTAAATGGAAAATTGCCAAACTCCATCATGTTGGAGTTTTAAAACATCGTACTCATAGAAAAATCAGACAAATTTTCCACAGGATATCTTTTAAACAATTTGATGGAATTGACATGTATAGAGTACTGTACCCAATTAACTGCAAAATTCACATTCTTAAGAACTATCCACCAAAGTTTCACCAAGATAAAACACTTGTTGGTCTAGAAAGCTCTCTGACTACAAACAGATTAATTAAAAATCAATTAAAGTATGGAGATAATTCACAAATAGAAATTATATGACCCATAGCAAATAAAAAAACTCAAATGTAAAAAAATTGTGTGACATAACTAAAGCAGAGCTTAGAAAGAATCTCATGACTTTCAAGGGATTCATTAGAAAAGAAAAAAGGTGAAAATGTGTGGGCCAGGGATTTAGCTCAGTGGTTCCACAGTCTGCCTCGCAAGCACATGGTCTTGAGTTCCATCCCTGGTACCAAAAAAATATATAGTTCAAAAGGTGAAAACGCAATGATCAAAGTTTCCACATTAAGCTATTTAACGCTAGACATGCAGTAACCACTTTAAAAAGCTGGAAAAAAGATACCTCAGGCCCGTCCTTATGGATTACATCTGGAATCCTAGGATTCTGGGAGGCTGAGGCAGTAGGATTGCAAGTCCAAGCTCAGCCAGGGCAACTTAGCAAGGTCTTGTCTCAAAAATAATTAAAAAAACAACAACAGGGTTGGGAATTTAGGTTAGTGCAAAGGCCCCACATTCAATCCCCAGTCTCTCTCTCTTTCTCTCCATAAATATATTATATACATTTTGTATATTTCTAAAAATATTAATATATGTCATATATATTTCTAAAAATTTTGAAGTAACATAGGGTGATGAGAAAGAAAAACAGAAATGAAAAATGAACAACAGAACAACAGAGAATAAAAAATGATAGATTTAGCCTTAATGTATCAGTATTTATTTAAAATAAATGGTCTAAATATACCAACTAACGGAGATTTTGAGTCTATTAAAATATGACCTAAATGTATGCTGTCTATAAAACAGTTATTTCATTGTAATTGTATCTTGAATCTTGGCTTCAGTGATGGTTACAAAAATGTACATATGTGTTAAAATGCCACAGACCTAGAAATAAGCATATTACACCAATGCCAATTTTCTGGTTTTGATATTTTAGTATAATTATGTATGATGTAACTGGAGAATACTGGATGAGGTGTACACAGAACCTTTCTTACTACCTTTTTCTACTTCTTTTGAGTGATCATTATTTTAAATTTAAAAAATTAAAAAGGAATAAAGTATTGCTATATATAGTATTTATTATCAAAAACAATATGTTGATAAAAAGAAAATATACTATGTAGTTCTAAAAAGTCTAAGAGCAGTCTAGAATGTAGTATATAAAGTCTGGGAACAGAGAAAACTAATTCATGGTGACTTAAATTGGAATAGTAGTTACCTAAGGGTGGAAAGTGGGCAGCTTTGACTAGCAAGGGGCACAAATGAACGTAGATTGTCAAAATCTATCAAAGTATTCATTTTAGATCTGCACATTTATTGCTTATGAATTACAGCAAAAAAAAACAAACAACCTGAAGAGAACTAGAAGTAACATTTCAAAAATGACATACTATTTTTACCAGTTTTCTGGTAAAATAGGCCCATTACATATGTGATTATCTCTTCCCCTACAGCAAGAATTCTTTGAAAGCCTTTATATCTTATACACTATTGGTTATTCCATCTCCTTCGGCTCCTTGGCTGTGGCTATTCTCATCATTGGATACTTCAGGTGAGTGATTCTTGGTCACTTTCTTCATGAAAGGACATGTTCTGATTCCTATCCATAGGAGCCACAAAGATCTCACAGTCTGTGCCACAAAATATTTTTCCCAAGGCAACATTTTTTTGAGACAGGGTCTTGCTAACAAGTTCAGCCTTGAACTCCCTATGTAGCCCAGGCTGGCCTTGAACTTGTAGTGATCCTCCTGCCTCAGCCTCCCTAGTGCTAGGACTACTGGTACACACCATCACACCCAGCCCAAGACAACATTTTTAACTAAGCCTAATGTTATTACATTATTTGGCAATTCATTTCCCCTGCAAATTCAGGGGCTTTTGGTTAAAAACCTAAAACATCAAAGCAATAATATCTAATAATAGATCTGTATTGCATTATATATGCTTGCAAAGTAATGCAATAAAGAGTCTAGTGAATTATGATGTAATAATTTATTATACTTTTCCCAAATGATTTTGGTGCCACTGGACAAAATGTCATTCCAAAGTATTTGATATTAGCACATAAAAAGACAGTGTTGCCTAATTTTGTTGTAAACTTGTGTCCAACTGAATTCGACTTAGTCTAAATCAACACAAATGATTGAACATCAGTATAGAGATATAAAAGAATATTGTCTAGAGGATGAATATACTCATAACACTCACAGTTGATTTGTGATACCTATATTTGGCAAAACAAGTAGTATACAATGTGAGAAGTGCTATGAAGGAGTGCACAGTAACTTGCTCTATGTGTGAGAGTGTGCCGTAATTTGGGAGGGCAGAGTGGGCAATGAAGGCGTGCCTCCCTAGATGAAAAATCCAAAATGGTACCTGGGAATAAGTAAGATTTAACCAAAAGATGAGACCTGGAAAGAGTTCCAAACCTGCCTTGACATCAAGAAAAAGGATGGAACATTTGAGAATTCAGAACTTCTTTATTGGCTGACTAGTCCATTTATTTAAGACTTTTCTCTACTGTGTGATACGCTTTTTGGTACTGATGGAGTCTAATTGAAAAGAAAAGTAGCATAACACAAAAATTATACATAGGAATGGACTTATTGAATCATTATAAAAGTGTGAATCCTGTAGTACAGATATAGGGTATTGGGAGTACTGAGGAGTGAGTGCAGAGCTGCCCAGGTATGAGGGAGAGACTTCCCAGAACAGCTGACCTGTGAGGTAGAATTGAGCAGTGAGAAGGAGAACAGTGTGTTCCTGATGGTGGGATCAGAATGTGCAAAGACAAGAGGCATAAAGGAGTTGAGCAGACTCAGGGAACATAGAAGAGTTGCAAGTGTGTGTAGCTTACAGGAATGGTCAGGAAGAAAGTAGGAATCGTGGCACTAGGTTTTAGACCTTCATGTAGGACTTTGAGTTTTGTCCTATGAAGGTAACAAGAAGCTAATGAAAAAAAGTTTTTTTCCAGTAGCAAAATTTTCTTGTCTTAGAAAACTGTAAAAAAAAGTGACTTTGTGAATCTTGCAGGCTGTACATCATAGTGAATAAGCCTCTAAGGCATCTCATTAAGAATGTTTTGTTTTCCTTTTTGAGAATGATGATTGTGTCCATGATTTCCTAAAATCATTTAAATTTTAAAAAACTAGTTTAGAAAAAACTGTGAATATTTATGGGGTATGATGTGGTGTTTCAATACTTGCGTATATTGTGTAATATTTAAATTATATTAGCGATATCTATTTTCTCAAATATTCATCCTTTCTTTTTTTCAATTTGTTTTATCTATTTTTTTCTTTCACCTTTTTTATTAGCACATGTTTGCCAGACATAATGACTACATTCACTGTGGGGAGTTTACATATATACATAAAACATCTTAATTCTTTTTACTTCCCCTTTCCCTCCCCTCTCCTCTTTCCTCCATTGCTTGATCTCCTTTTCATTTGCAAAAGATCTATCTCCATGTTTCCCATTATCTATCTTTTATTTTGCTCTTTAAATTATTTCACATATTGAGTACTTATGTAAGAGAAACAATGATATATAAGGTTGTGTGGCTGATTGTTTTCACTTAACATTATGGTCAGAAGGTGCATTCATTTCCCCACAAATGATTCATTTGTCCTTCTTTATGGTAGAGTAATACTCCACTGTGTATAAACGCCATATTTTTTAATTCATTCATCTGTTGATGGACATATAGCTCACTTCCATGATTTAGTTATTGTAAGTTACTGTGCTTCTGTAAACATGGGTATTCATGTATCACAATAATATGATGTCTTTAATTCATTTGGGAGGATACCGAAAGGGGAACAGCTGGGTCAAATGGAATTTCTAGGTTTAGCTTTTTGAGGACTCTCCATATTGATTTCCATGGTGGTTGTACTAGATTACTCTCCCACCAACAATGTAAAAGAGTTTCCCTTTTCCCTCAGCCTCTGTAGCATTTGTTATTATTTGATTTCTTGTTAATAGCCATTCTTTTGGAGTATTACGGAAATCTCAGTGTTGTTTTAATTTGCAGGTCTCTGAAGGCCAGAGATATTGAACACTTTTTCATATATTTATTGGCCAGCTTTACTTCATCTGATTCTTGATGTTATTTCTAGTGCTTTTGGGGCTCTGTTCAGAAAGTCTTTGTTGATGGTTATGTCATCAAGAGTTTTACCTATTTAATTTTCCAGTGGATTCAGTGTTTCTGTTTTAATATTTAGATCTTTAATCCATTTTTATTTATTTTAGTAGATGGAGAGAGATTTGTGAGTCTAGATTCAATTTTTGGCATTTGCATAGCCAGGTTCCTCAGCACCATTTGCTCTAAAGAGGCTATCTTCTATTCAACATATGCTTTTGGCCCTTTTGTCAAAGATTAGATAGTTTAATGTGCCTGGGTTGTTTCTGAGCCCTCTATTCTGTTCTAATAATCCACAAGTTTGTTTTTGTTCCAGTACTATACTGTTTATATTACTATAGCTTTGAAAGATGACTTGAAATCTAGAATTGTGATGCCTTCTGTTTTGCTCTTGTTGTCCAGAATTGCCTTTGCTATTCTGAGTCTCTTCTATTTCCATATACATTTTAGGGTTGTTTTTTCTAGTTTTATAAGAGATGGTGTTGGTATTTTGATTGGGATTGCATTAAATCTGTATATCAGTTTTGTAAGTATGGCCATTTTGACAATATTGGTTCTGCCTATCCAAGGACAGAGGATATCATTTAATTTTCTGATGTACTCTTTGATCTCCTTTTTCAGAGTACCATAATATATAATAATGGGCTTCTGTCTTTCAGTTTATCATGTTTTCCTCTTTTCAGAGGAGGAATTTGGGCTCATTTTATTTTCTTCTCCTATTTCCAATTTTTTTCAAATGTAAATACTGGCTGTTTCTCTGCATAGACGATTGCATTGCACTAGGAACTACATCCATCTGCATTTATTTGTGTCTTTCATGATGAGAGCTATAAGCATCTTTGTCAAGGATAAAGTGGCCCATGCTCACCTAAGAATAGGGGAACTACAGTCCCTGATGTTGAATGACCTACAAAATTCCATTGGAGTGCCTTCTGTGGACAAATCGCAATATGTAAGTGTTTTCACCATTTTCTCTCAGTAAAATTTTTGTCACATTGCAAATAAGTAAAATTTCACAGTCTACTAAACATTTATTAATGTGTTTTGGCTTATTTTATCTCTGAATTACCTAAATTAAATAATTGATACTTCCTCAATTCTCTCTCCTGTTTTGTTAGTCAACTTTTTGTTGCCATGATCAAGTATCTGAGATAAAAAAGCTTAAAGGAGAAAAGATTTGTCTTGGCTCATAGTTTCAGCCTAAGGTTGTCTGGCTCCAAGGCAGAAACATGGCAGACAGGCATGATGTGGAAAGCTGCTTACCTCATGGGAGCCAAGAAGTAGAGAGAAAAGAAAAGAGTCAGAAAGAGGGAGGGGCAAGGGAGTGGTTATACTCTTCAAAGGCACGCCCTCTGACTTCTTCCTCCAACTGAGCCACAACTCCTAATAACCCATCCAGCTCTGAACTTATCAATAGGTTAATTCTCCTCTTAAGTACCACCTCTGAATATTAGTGCATTGGGAATCAGACCCTCAATACATAATCTTTAAGGCAAGAGTAAATATGACAGCATATTTAAACCACCACTTAAGTCTAATCACACATTTTAGAGTATTAAAAAGGCACTTGGGCTCTTTCCTACAGAACACTCTAGAGTGTACTACAAAAAGCATATGATTGGAATGACATTTGATGTATAAACTATAGCAACTCTCATGGGCCACTGCTTTCAAAAGTGAAAAAACAAAAAAACCAATGCATCAGCAAAACTAGAAACTTAAAAGCCCTTGGTAATTGGCTCCTCTATTGCGTCTTCAAAGTCCTGTTCCCATGTACAATCCCCATGGTGTCCTGATGGTACAAATTAAAGCGCTGTCTGTATCTCTGCTGTTTCTCTGTAACTTTGTAGTGCCTGTTGATGCTGATTCTAGATGGGCCTTGTGCTTTGCTTTACCCAATAGCGTGAAGTGGAAGGGGTAGTGAGCCAGGTGAAGGGAACCTCCATGAGTGAGCCTGGCCAGGATTGGCTGAGCCCAGCCAGGTCAGCAGAACTCCTCAGTCCATCCACAGATACATGAGACATGAGAATTTATCGTTTTAAGTCATTAACTTTTGGGGTGGTGTATTTCTCTGCAATAGCAGCATAAAGAAGACCAGAATGAAATAAATTCATGATAGAAAGATGGATACTTTTCTTCTTTAGGTTTCCCTATACTTCCCATTTTCTTTGATAATCATGTGTTATTTTTATAAAGGGAAAATTTATGAAAAAGTGACATTTTTGTAACTTTAAAAAAATATAATTCTAACAAAAGAATGAAGTCCATAATCTTAAAAAGTGCTATGTTAAAATAACTTCATTCTCATCTCTTTTACATTCTCAGCCTTCTTGTGTATAGGAGACATAGTAAACTATGCAAAGGAAACAGCAAAAATGTTTTCTAGTCGGCCTCCCATGCAATTAAGAGTTTAATATGATGTAATTTTGGTTTATTTGTAATAGATCGGGTGCAAGATTGCTGTTGTGCTGTTTATTTACTTCCTGGCTACAAACTACTACTGGATCCTGGTGGAGGGTCTCTACCTGCACAATTTAATCTTTGTGTCTTTCTTTTCGGACTCAAAATACCTGTGGGGCTTCATCTGCATTGGCTGGGGTAAGGCACTTAAGTCTCCTTTCCTTTTAAACTGGTCATGTTCTTAGGCCAGATTCTCAGGAGGATGTTTTGAAAGAAATTCAAGACAGCATAGTTTTTAGCCATGTATGTTTAGAACTGCTGGGCTCACACCTTATACCAATATTCTGCTTTACCCATAATTTCTTCCTAAAAATTTTGGATTTTTGAATTGCTAAGCTATAATGATGCATCCTTGATTGGTATTTCTAGGTCATATATAGAGAATTCTAGCAGGAAATTTATAGGACTATATTGACTGCCTTTAGCAAATACAAACCACAAACTAATTTTGGAGGTTCACTGTGTCTTTTAGAAGGAGATCATTTAAATTCCTTTTGGCAGAGTAATTTTCTTAAAAAGGACATTCAGCTTATATTTCAAAAATGACAGTGTGGAACAATTATTGGATTAAACACTAACTCAACATGACATGGAGAAATGCATATTGCTTGTTAAAATTTAAGAGAAATTAAAACTCATACAGTATATGGCTAAAATATAGAATAATATGAAGGTTAACAATTACAGATCTTAGCTGCTACTCGTATTCTAATTATGAGGTGCTTAACATAGGAAGAAAGATCGTTAAAGTGACTCAACATTAAATTTGAAGATATTTGTTCCTTCTCTCTAAATAACACCAATTTGCCTGTTTGACCTTAACATTATTTTAACAAATGACAATCGGAGTAAGTTGTATAACATTTACTACTAACTAGCTAAGAACTTTTAAAAAGAGTCAAATTACTGTAAGACTTTATTATGAAATAATAATTGTTGAGAATAAAGTTTTATTTCTGAAGGCAGCTCATCTTTTTTTTTTTTTTACCGGGGATCGAACTCAGGACCTTGTGCTTGCAAGGCAGGCATTGGCACCATTGAGCTAAATCCCCAGCTGACCTCATCTTGTTTAAGGCTCTCTGTTATTTTTTTTTCAGATAAAAAAATCAGCAGTTTATTTTTTATTTTATGATAAAATTTCATAACCAAATAAGAGAATAGCAATAGTATTACACTGTGTATTGATATCTTCAAAGTAGAGTACAAGACATAAACCAAAAAGATTCTTACAAAAAAGAAACAGATAACACAAAATTTTATCTTATTTTTTACATTTTTTATTAGTACACGTTTGCAGCACATGATGATTACATTTCATGTGGGGAGTCGGTACATGTACATAACACATCTTAACTCTCTTTCATTCCCTCTCCCTCCCCTGTCTCTTGATCGCCTTCTCATTTGAGAAAGATCTGTCTTCTACTTCCTGCTTTGCAAGACCTTTTGATAACATAATCCACAGTGAATTCAATTTCATAAATTTTCTCAATGACATTATTTATTGGTTTCATTAGTTTTAAAGTTTTTTGTTTGTTTTTTTTGGTACTGAGGATCAAACTTGGGACCTTGAACTTGTGAAGCAGGCGGCAGAACCACTGAGCTAATCCCTGGGCCCTGTTTTGAGGTTTTTATTGCTCATTTGGGCCAAGTTGTTATATCTTTAAGTTCTCTTCAGCTAGGTAAATACTCAGAAATGTGTTACTTACATTGCAGTGATATGTGTAGTTACATTATTTACATTGATTTTGATGATTCTTAACAACAAACTGGAAGGAAAGGAAATTTATAGTCCAAAGTGGAACTTATGCCATATCTGACTTTTACTAAACTGAAGGCAAATATTTAAAAACGACCATTTTATGTTTTTATAACAAACAAGAAGTGACTACCAATGACTGCTGTTTATTTTTTCTTTCAACCAACTACTACCTTATCTTTGCCTCAGTTTTTCCATAGATAAAAGCATTTTTCCTGGTTCTATTTTATACTTTCATCTACATATTTTTGCTATGTTTTAATTCTGTATTTCAAAGATTTCCCGTTTGTTATTATCATTATTGAGTGTGGTGGTTAACCTGGATATCAGCAGTCATCTTTAATTTGTAGCTGTTAGATGCAATACCAGTATGTGCAACTTCTCAAATAAAAGGATCTATTGTGGTAATTTTGTACAGTCCTATTCTTATGGCAAAGCATATTCATGTAGAATATTTTTATATTCTGTTATCTATGCTTCCAGTTTTATTATCTATAAAATGCTCTTAATCCAGCAAACATTTTTCAGTCATCTGTTTGGCAGCTAATATAATTTAAATACAGAGGTATGTGTTAAAGTCTGTGTCTTAGTCTATTTTATGTTTCAACAACAAAATTCCTGGAGCTGGATAACTTATTTTTAATTAATTTTATTGGCATATTTTAGATATACATAATCATAAGTCATCATATGGAATTTGTACCTGTACATGATATATCTTGATTCTTCTTTTTTTATCCTTTCCTCCCCTCCCTTCAATCCCTTTCCCCCCTTATTTACAGAAATGTTGTTTCCATTTTTTTCCTTCTATTCTCTTTTTCTTTTTGCCTTCTTTCCTTTCCTCCACTTCCCTCCCTAGTTCCCTTCCCATTTGAACATTTTCTTCCATTTTCCCAATATCTATTATATATTTTGTCCTTATTTACACTATCAGTTTCTCATACTAGAGAAACCATGATATATTTGAACATGTGTGTCTGATTTATTTCACTTAAGAGTATGGTCTCAAGGTGCATCTATTTACCTAGCAATGTCACAAGTTTATTCTTCTTTATGGCAGAGTAGTATTCCATTGTATAAACAAACCACATCTTTATCCATTCATCAGTTGATGGGCATTTGGGTTGTTTCCATGATTTAACTATTTAAAACTATGCTGCTATGAACATATGTATGCATATATTGCTGTGGTATGATGCTTTTAATTCTTTTGAGAAGATACCAAGAAGGGAAATAGCAGGATCAAATGGAACCTCTAGTTTTAGTTTTTTGAGAAATCTCCACACTGATTTCTACAGTGGTGGCACCAATCTACACTCCCACCAACAATGAAGAAGGGTATCTTCTCCCCCTCAGCACTGCCAGCATTTGTTATTGGTTGATTTCTTGATGATAGCCATTCTTTCTGGACTGAGTTGGAATCTCAGTGTTTTAATTTGCATCTCTCAAATGACCAGTGATGTTGAACATTTTTCATATATTTATTTGCCATTTCTACTTCTTCATCTGAGAAGTGTCTATTCATTTCACATGCCCATTTTTGGACTGGGTCTTTAAATTTGGGGGGGTCTGATTTTTTTGAGTTCTTCATATATTCTAGATATTAGTCCTTAGTCAAAGGAACAGGTGGCAAGAATTTTTTCCCACTTTTCAGGTTGTCTCTTCTCTCTGTTGGTGGTTTCCTTTACTGTGCATAAGCTCTTTCATAAGATAAGATCCCAGTTGTTGATTCTTTGTGATATTTCCTGTGTGATTGGGGTTTTTTTCATAAAGTCTTTGCCTACACATCTGTCTTCAAGAGTTATACCTTTTGTATCTTCCAGCAGATTCAATGGTTTTGTTTTAATATTTAGATCTTTGATCCATTTTGATTTTAGTTTACTGCAGAGATATAAGTTTAGCGAGAGATATGGGTCTAGTTTTAATCTTTGGCATGTGGAAAGCCAGTTTTCCTAAACCATTTATTAAAGAGACTATCTTTCTTCTAGTGAAGGTATTTGTACCCCTTGTCAAAACTAAGGTGATTGAGTGTATTTGGAGTCATTTCTGCATCTTCTAGTCTGTTCTATTAATCCTTGGGTCTGTTTTTTGCCACTACTGTGCTATTTTTATCATGGTAGCTTTGTAGTATAATTTCAAGTCAGGAATTGTGATGCCCTCTGCCTTGCCTTTGTTGCCCAGAATTATTTTTGCTATTTTTAGGTCTCTTCTGCTTCCAAATGAATTTTAGGATTGTTTTCTCTAATTCCATAGAGGTATTTCACATCTTTTGATAGACTAATTCCTGAGTATTTCTTTTCTTTGGATGCTATTGTAAAAGGTATTGTTTCCCTAATTTCTCTCTGGCAAGTTTGTTATTTTTGTACAAGAATGCTCTTGAGTTTTGAGTGTTGACTTTGTATCCAGCTATGCTACTGAATTTGCTTATTAAAACTAGAAGTCTTTTGGTGTAGTTTTTTGAGTCTTTTATGTAGAGTATCATGTTGTTCACAAATAATAATTTAACTTCTTTTTGTGTCTTTATTCCTTTTATTTCTTTCTCTTTTCTAATTTCTCTGGCTAATATTTACACAACTATAGTGAATAAGAGTGGATATCCTTGTCTTGTTGCTGATTTTAGAGTGAAAGCTTTCAGTTTTTGCCCATTTAGTATGATGTTGGTTGTTGGTTCATCATAGACAGCTTTTATCAGATTGAGGCCTTCCTTTTCCAATTTTCTGTAGGGGTTTTATCATGAATGGGTGTTGGAGTTTGTCAAATGCTTTTTCTTTATCTATTGAGGTGAACATGTGTCTTTTGTCCTTGGCTCTGTTAATATGGTGTATTCATTTATTGATTTGCATATATTGAGTCATCCTTGCATCCCTGGGATGAATCCTACTTGGTCATTGTATATAATCTTCTTGATGATTTGCTGCATTCTGCTCACTAGTATCTTACTGAGGATTTTTACATCTATGTTCAGTAGGGAAATTGGCCTCTAGTTCTCTTTTTTATTGGATCCCTCTCTGGTTTTGGAATCAGGGTGATGCTTGCTTCCAGGAATGATTCTGGGAGTATTGCTTCCCTTTCAATTTCATTAAAGAGTTTGAGGAGTAGTGGCATTAGATCTTCTCTAAAGTTCTTGTAGAAATCAGCAGTGAATCCATCAAGACCTGGGATTTTCTTTGTTGGTAAATTTTTAATTACATTACATTTAATTATATTTTATTGATTGATATTGGGTTATTTAAAATCTCTATATCTTCTTGATTCAGCTTTGATAATTCATATGTATCTAGGAATCTATCTTTTTCATGTTTTCCATCTTATTGGAATATAGGTCCTCGAAGTAGGTGTTAATAATTTTTTGCATACTGCATGATTCTTGTCATTTCATCCA